ATCTGTTTACTAAACTGCTTACAAAATAGTTCAATTGCATTTTAATGACACACATATTAAAATTGCTTGAATTCAACAACTTTTAAATAGTTGCTTCTGGAAAGACTGTATTGAAACTCTGCAAATCACTCGTGAAACAATGTACCCTACATTTATTTTTGGGCAATGCAAGTCAAAGGAGACCCATTTCATGATTAAGCAAGGGTTGTCTCGCCCACACCCTGGAATTTGCAAACAATTATCTGATCATCTTTAAGCAAAGTACTGTATGCAACTATCATAACTATCATGAGTTTAGCCTTTAAGGGACAATGGCATAATCAGGGGTGGGATTTAAATTTTTAATAACCGGTTCTGTGGGCATGGCTTAGGTGGTGGGCGTGGCTTGGTGGTCATGTGACTGAGTGGACATGGCTTGGTGGTCATGTTATTGGCTGGCTGTGGCCAACTCAATATCACTCACATCGAGGCACGCATCTCCTCCTCTGGCCTCTCATGACTGTGGGTATGCTGCAACAGTCGTAAGTGTGAAAAATGGTCATGAGTCACTTTTTTCAGTGCCATTGTAACTTTGAATGGTCACTCCACACAAGCAAAGTACCAGCAAAGGAGGGGAAAACAACTCCAGAGACGTTCCTGAGACAGGAAGTCTAGTCCTGCCAAGAATGTAATAAGGGCTAACGGAGAGGCAGTTTCTGTAAGCAACACCAGAATGTTTCCTTCCTGCCTTCCTTACAGGATTAGGCCAGTAATTTCTTCTACCAACCGGTTTTCCGAACTGCTTACAATGTTAACAACCGGTTCTAGTGAATAGGTGTGAACTGGTAGAATCCCACCCCTGGGCATAATGATATAGCAAGTAGGAGAGATCAATATTTTGGGCTCAGGTTTAGATAGGTGTAAGGGGTGTAGTAAGATATACCCCAATAATAACAGTGCCAGGACATTGAGGGCAAGTTTTCCCATAAAGTAAACCCCACAGAACCAAGAAACCAGGTTTTTCCCATTCAAGAGATAACCCTGAGGCAATATACAAACACTAATCCAGCTAACAGGAAAAAAACATGTCTGATCCCATTGCCTGGTCAAAATCTCTAGATCAAATATTTCGAACAATAAACAAACCCTAGCATCAGCCCCCCATATATACCAGGCCCTTGGCATCACCCAGAACCTTCATGTCCCTTACTTGCCAACTTCTTTGGGCAGTATAGAGAGAGCCAACAAAGAGGTCAAGACCCTGCTGGGCAAACTCTGCCAAGAGACACATCTTACTTGGCCACAGGTGTTACCCATCGCACTGTTCTACAGTATATCAGGACTAGACCCTGACAAGACATAGGAATGATCCTCTTTTGAACTCCTCTTTGGTCGGCCCACTGACCCATTACAGGGCCTGGACCCCCAATCCCTCAGCCTAGATAGTGGGGATTTGGTTCTCTGTTCTTACTTTACAGCCCTACATAAGAGACTCCAGATCCTGTGGAAGCAGAGTGCCCTGATGCAGACGCTGCCTCTGGAAGAGGCCCTGCATCCCTTCAAACCAGGAGCTTGGGTGTGGATCACGTTTTTCACCAGGACCTCACCCCTGCAACCAGGTGGAAAGGACCTTATCAAGTCTTGCTGAACCCACAGACAGCTATCAAGGTTGCAGAAAGAGACTCCTGGATACACTGGACTCATGTAAAACCTGCTGTAGTGGACCACAGCCCACCTCCAGCCACAACTCCTAAAGTGCCACCTGTGAAATTCAAGAGGAACCCAGAGACAGAACAGTAGACCCTGGAAGCTTTCTTCTACATTCCACAAAAATGGGGAGGGAGAAAATAATGGGAAATATATTTTGCAAAACTATATGTATCATCATGTTTGTATCCTATGTAACACCATTCCAAGAACCCAGCCTTTTTTTCCAGAGAAAAGGAAACATTTGGGAGTACTTAGCTACTGAAGCTCTCAACACCACCAATTTTTGCCTAGCTGGAGGTAAAATCTGTAAAAGATCTCCTCATCACATATTTAATGGGAGTGGCTACAGAACTACAAGCCATTTTTAATCATACTAAACTAAGGGACCTTCAACTAACAAATCCATACTCCAGAATCTTCAACTGCCCCTCCTCCCCATAGACATAAATGACCACACCATGTACAAACTCCAAGTGGCTGCAATCACTAATGCAGCCGTATGTTTAAACCTCAGTGGATGCTCCACACCAAAGGTCCAAGAATGCATGATCCTGAATAACACAGACCTTACATGCAACCACACAGAAGACATTCCATTTTCTTACAACTATATGAAGCTTCCTCCTGGCTGGTTTATACTTTGTGGATTAAGAGCTTAGTCCTACCTTGAATACAGTGGAAATGAGGTACTTCTGAAATCTTGTGCTACAAGAAGAGATAGGGTCAAGAAAAAAGGGGTGCTCAATGTGGACTAAATGGATAACCCCCAAGCAATTGATAATGTACTATAGATATACCTAGAGGTGATTTGTGATTATCCCACAGCATCTATGGGAAATTGAGAAGTCTGTACTCATGACTTCAAAATTCATAATGGTATTTAAGCATGTAGAATCTGGGAAGTCTTGAGTTGGTTGGATTGCAGAATACCACAAGCTTGTTTGAATAAGCTTTCTCCCCTCAGAATGATCTATGCACATTTCATTGTGATTGGTCTCATGAGACAATGATGAATCTGCATACAGACGGGAGGTTGAACAACTATCCTTGTGGTGCAACCAGAACGATCTTGAACTAAATACACTAAAAACTGTAGAAATGGTGGTAGGTTTTAGGAGAAACCCTCCTATACTACCACCTCTTACAATACTAGACAACCCAGTATCAACAGTAGAGACCTTCAAGTTTCTAGGTTCTATTATATATCTCAAGACTTAAATTGGACATCTAACATCATCAAAAAAGCACAACAAAGAATGTTCTTTTTGCACCAACTCAAAGAGCTCAAACTACCCAAAGAGCTGCTGATTCAGTTCTACAGAGGAATTATTGAGTCTGTCATCTGCACCTCTATAACTGTCTGGTTTGGCTCTGCAACCAAACAAGACAGACATAGACTTCAATGGGTAATTAGAACTGCAGAAAAAACAATTGCTACTAACCTGCCTTCAACTGAGGATCTATATACTGCACAAGTAAAAAAAAACAAGAGGGCTATGAAAATATCTGCAGATCCTTCATATCCTGGACATAAATTGTTTCAACTTCTACCCTCAAAACGACACTATAGGGCACTGTACACCAGGACAACTAGACACAAGGACAGTTTTTTTCTGAATGCCATCACTCTGCTAACAACTAATTCCCACAATACTGTCAAATTATTTACTAAGACTGCGTTACTATTACTCTTCTCATCCTTCCTAGGACCTATCTCTTCCCACTTATGACTATAACCGTATTGCTTGTATCTTTACAATTTATATTGTTTTGTTTCCTAGTATGATTTGATTGCTTATTAGTAACCTATAACTATCATTAAGTGTTGTACCTTATGATTCTTGATGTGTTTTTTTATGTACGCTGAGAGCATATGCACCAAAGACAAAATCCTTATGTGTCCATTCACACTTGGCCAGTAAAGAATTCTATTTAGTGACAGTATACTGCTGGCTTGGGTTTTGGGGGGACCAGTGTGAACTGGGTACCAGGTTTTTCTGATATAGAAAGAGTCTGTGTAATGCCTGAGATATGGCTTGCAAAGCAAAACCCAGCTCAGGCATCGTGTGGAAAACTTCCCTGAAGAGATGTAAAATCTTGATAGATCATACCCAATGACAAGACAGCATTACCAATAGTGAAAGGGCAATTAATAGGAGCCAAAGCATGTACCTTACATTGAATGAAGCCTTGCAGATGGATGAAATGCAATGGCTTGTGCAACAGAACTGAAAGCAAGCAAACAAACAACCCACACCACCTCCTACTAATGAGAACAAAAGCTACATTCATGATGGGAAGTGGGTGAGCAGAAGACAATACCAGTCATGTTCTACAAGCCTGTTTCACAGGTATGGCAGGCTGCATTTAGTGAATGATGCAGAAACATACATAAAAAAATTTTTTTGTAAAAATAATAAAACACGGGATAATTTTTTTGTAAAAATATGATAAGTGCCACTTCTGATTTTGAAAAGTTCCATGCTGTAAAGCATGAGTTTATGACATGAAGATATTTTTTCCATCAGGGACAAGACTTAATATGACAGCCTCAACACAGAAGGCAGTTGTGAAACTAAACTGTCTTAACACTGCAGGACAAGAAGCAACAGGTGGAAACTACTCAAGGAGAGAAGAAGCAACTTAGAACTAAGGAGAAATTTCCTGACAGTTAGAACAATCAGTGGAACAACTTGCCTCCAGAAATTGTGAATGCTCCAACACTGGAAGTTTTAAAGAAGATGTTGGATAACCATTTGTCTGAAGTGGTGTAGGGGTTCCTGCCTAGGCAGGGGGTTGGAGTAGAAGACCTCCAAGGTCCCTTCCAACTCTGTTGTTCTGTTCTGTTCTCTTCTAATTTTCTCTTCTAATTTTCTATTCCTATTTTATTCTCCCAGGGAGCTTCTGCTTTTATTACTCAGAAGAAAGTCCCATCGAGTTCATGGTGGCTTCTCCAATAGCTTACACTATCCATAAAGGCAGAATGTGGTTTGTTGGGCTACAAGTGGTCGTAAAGCAGGCGTATCTACACCTAGCTAATATGATTTGTTGGGTCAAATCCCAAATGAAGCACGTTTTGGCTCGCTTTGATGAAACAACAAACTTTTAATCCACCCGGTTGTAGACCAAACTCTCTTTCGTTCCGGCGAACCACCAGTTGATGCGGCAGGAGCCACGAACGTCGACGACGCGCCCTTCGTCTCAGGCTCGGCGGGGTTGAGCGGGACTCGACTTGGTGCAACCTTCGCCCCGGGAGGAGGGGCCCCAAACAGTAGCAGCTGGAGAGGAGGAGGAGGAGGAGGAGCCTCAGCCTGACATTACGACTTTCCTCCTTCCCGGGCGAGTTAGTTGCAAGCAGTTGGCAGGCGAGCGGCCGAGCGCTTGTTCAGCGGTTTCGCTGCCGCTCCGGCCTGCTGCTGCTCCTCCCAGGGCGCAGCCATGAGGCGACCCCGCGTGCCCGACTCGGCGCAGTAAAGTTCGCTCAGGATGGAGCTGCCCGGCTCTTCGCTGCAGAAGGCTTGCCGCCTGCTTGTGGTCTTCTGTGCCCTCCACCTCTCGGCTGTGCTCTTCTACTACCTGAGGGGCAACACGGTCGGTCACAGTCGGAGCCCGGAGCCGCCGCCTCGCAGCCAAACCTTCGGCCGTCGGGAGTCGGAGACCCTCCTCCCGCCCAATATCTCCAAGCCCGTCGCGGATTGCCCCGACCCTTCCCCTTTGCTGCGTAAGTGCGGAGCGCCGCGGGCTCTCCTTGGCGCGCCCAGCTTCTCTCCCACCCCGGCTTTCGCTTCACCCTGCGGTTTCCTCGCAGTTTCCTCCTTGAACCCATTGCCCCGTCGTGCCTCGTTGCTTCAGTCCCCACTTTTCTTCCTCCACCCTTTCCTGTTCCTGCCTCTTTCGGGCCCTGCCTGCCTCCCTCCTCTCGAAAAGCCGCTCGCTCGCTCTGTCCTTCGGGGTCTTCCTTGCCGCTCCAGCCCCATTCCGCTGGGGAAGCGCCGCGGCCGAGCGCGGAGCAGAGAAGTTTCTCGCACGGCCCGGAGCGCGTTGCCTTCCCGCCTTCAAGCTAAAAGTTCGCTTTGCAGATTGGCAGACTTCGTGAGAAGGAGAAGGAGAACTGCCCGACTCGACTTGGTCCATTCCTCTTTGCTCCGATGTCTATTTTACCGAGAGCAGCGCTCCCTAAAGTCGAAACGGAGCTTATTTCCGAGTAGCTGTGAACTCTTTATTATGCCCAGTTATTCCGGAGGAAATCTGTCTGAGTTCAGGGATAAAGAGGATGAGGGGGTGAATTCTGAGCCAACAGCGCATATATAAATGATGTGGACAGAACCTGTTTTTCCTGTTGCTTCCTCTTCCTGCTCAGTTAATTCCTCCTATCTTCCAGAGTTAACTTTGTTTATAGTAGTAGATTGCCCTGATGGAAAAAATTATGTCCTGCCTTTCTTGCAAATGATGATGAATCATGTATGCCACGTTGCTGAAGGTGGAGGAACTTTTCCTCCAACTCCCCAGCTAAGGTTGATTTGTTCTGCTGGATATGAGTTGCAACTGGACCCTCTGGGTCTTACCTAAGGGCAGCTTTCTTTGGCAAGTGTGTCCAAACTGATCTAAAGTATCAGGTTGGGTCAGATGAGGGCTCTTGCCCCTGTTCTTTTGGAGTGGTTTTGCCTCAGCTCTGCTGAATTCGTAGGTCGTGCTCGCCAACTTTGTGGATACAATGCAGATCCCTGCCCTCCATATGATAATGGATTGGCTCCATTTTGTTCTTGATAGCTTTATTTTTTTTTTAATTTCCATTTTATTCGATTGTACTATTAGAAATGTTTTTTTTTAATTTGCAATTCAAAATTAATTGTAAATTAAAAAAAATGCTTAAAAATTATTTGGCACCATTATCCCAGGGGATTCTCACTCCCTTTAGCTAAAGGTACATTTCCTTCTGTTTGGTTTTACAAATGGTCTTTTTTAAAAGAACCCAGTTTCAAAGAAAAGTTTGTGAATGGGAATTTTGGGGAAGAAAGCTCTAACTTTCTATTATTATTACCTTTATTGTCAGAGTAGAACATGTGTACATGTGATTAGCTGAGCCTCCCTTCATGCACCCCCCAACACAAGTTTTAAAAGTAACTATAGTTTTGTAGAGGTCTAACCATGTCACAACATTTGTATGAGCTACAATATTGAATTCATTTTCTATTAATAAAACAATTTCTGTACAATCCCCATTAAACCATACTTTCTCAGATTCCTTTAAAACCTAGGTTTGTTCCATATCATGGAAGCATTTAGCTGTTTCTTTTTATTAAAACATATTTTATCCCAGTTAAAACATAGTTTGGGAAAGATGGTGTTAAACAACAGTGAGAGACTGTAAAAAATATTGCAAACTGCATTGGAGATTACATCAGGCCAGAATTGCATGTCTCTTAACAGAGTGTTAGTGATTCCCTTAAGAAATAAGCTTCAAAACTGTCATGCTGAGGGAGGGGGAGAAAAGCATATATTTTTTTTGGTAAAGAAAATAATGGGTTTTAATATTTTATTACAGAAGAAGTCAGATATCTGAGCTTTGTTTGGCAGTTTTGTGCATCTTTTCATAATAGATTATCAGAAGGGAAAAAGAATATATCTGCAACAAGAAATGAGAGACTCTTGGAGGATACATCTGGAGGGCACCAGGTTGGGTAAAGTTTGAAACCTAGGATAGCTTTGAAGTAGAAATCAGTTTTGTATGTTGAAGATAATGAAAGCCACTCCCAATAAATGATTTTACTAAATCACAGAATAACAGAGTTGGAAGGGACCTTAGAGGCCATCTAGCCCAATCCCCTGTTCAAGCAGGAGACCCTATACCATTGCAGACAAATAGCTGTCCAGGTTCTTTTTAAAAGCCTCCAATGATGAAGCACTCACCATTTCTGAAGGCAAATTGTTCCATTGGTTTATTGTTCTCACTGACAGGAAATTTCTCCTGAGTTCTAGGTTGCTTCTCTCCTTGGTTAGTCTCCAACCATTGCTTCTTGCCTTGCTTTCTGCTGCTTTACGTGCAATAGGTTGACATCCTCTTCTTTGTGCACCCCTTCAAATATTGGAACGCTGCTATCATGTCGCCCCAGTCCTTCTTTTCACTAGACTAGACATATCTTCTTCCTGCAGCCGTTCTGTATATATATTTTAGCCTCCAACTTCCTAATCATCCTTGTTGCTCTTCTCTGCACTCTTCCCAGAGTTGTAACATCTTTTTAATATGATGGTGACAAAAACTCGATGCAGTATTCAAAGTGTATTTCAAGTATATCCAAGTATCCTGTAGTATATTTCCCTTTTCTTTTTGCTTATATGAGATAAGCATATCAGAGAGAAAAAAGAAACCTTTTACAAAGAGAACTTCTGTATCTCATACTAAAGTGCTCTGACTTGTTCATTTGATTGCTTTGAAATATTGATAGCATATCTCACAACTGTGAGGCACTCTGAATTGAATGTCATACAGTATTAAATGCCCAGAGCAGTGGAACAGCAGTGTTTCATTTACAGGCAGCTTATGCTGCATTGCTTTATTTACAAAGCTATGCCCTAGTTTTTCATTCTGGCATTTTGGGTAAATAACTAAAAACTTAACAATATTAATATACAATATTACAGTTCAACCTGCATCCTTAACAGAATGTTGCATTTAGAGTGTCAATTTATGAAGAATTATTGCATGAGTTGGGTATGTCTAGTCTTATTGAAGAGAAAGATTAGGGGTGGCATGATAGTCTTCCAATATCTAAGAGGCTGCCACAAAGAAGAGAGAGTCAACCTATTCCTCAAATAATCTGAAGGCAGGACAAGAAGTAATGAAGGGAAACTTGTCAAAGAGAGTTCCAACCTAAGAACTAAGGAGAAATTTCCTGACAGCGAGAATCAAGGGGAATGGCTTGTCTTCAGAAGTTGTGGGTAGTCCACCACTGGAGGTTTTAACAAAAGATTGGACAGCTATTGGTCTGACATGGTACAGAGCAGGGGTCTCCAACCATGGCAACTTTAAGCCTGGAGGACTTCAATTTCCAGAATTCCCCAGCCAGCTTTGCTCCAGGCTTAAAGTTGCCAAGGTTGGAGACCCCTGGTATAAAGCCTCCTGCTTGAGCAGGAAGTTAGATTAGAAGACCTCCAAGGTCCTTCCAACTGTTATTCTGTTATTCTATCGCTATTTCTCAGAACAGAAAAAGGAGACTTAGACTACATCTTGACATTCTGTTAGTCTGTCTTCTAGAACGTTATCTTTTTTTGCTGTTCTCCAGATGCTTTGGATTCTCATTAGCGATTAACGGGAAGGCATTGTAGCTAATGTAATTAAAAGTATATGAAGGAGACCAGGTTGCCTGATCCTGCTCTATTCCACCCCTTTCCATTTTCTTTCTCCGTACAAGTACAGTCTTACCTCACCATGTGCCCTCTTGGTGTGTGAATTTCAAGTTTCGTCATTCTCAGCAAAGCAAATGCAAGTTGATGTTGAAGTCCAGCTATCTGGAGGCCACCAAAGCTACCCAAATATTGGGATTCTGTTGAGCTTGATGATAGCCCACTCTCTCTTAGTAGTCCAGTCTTTGAGTTTGATCTTGTTCTTTAAAAAAATATATCCTGCTTCTTCCCCACTCACCCATCTGTAATCCATTTACTCTAATAAACAAGACCATAATTAGCAGCTCCTTTTCCCCATGTAGAACAAATATTACAATGAATGCCTGAAGTTTTTCTTCCCAAAATAGGAATAGGATTATAGGAAATTAGTTATTTTGTAAAAAAAAAAAAAAAGTCCTTTGACTAATACTTTGTTACAGCTATGCTTCTCTTCTCTTCTCTTCTCTTCTCTTCTCTTCTCTTGACAGACAGATACTATAATGAAACTTTCATGATTCTGAACTGCATATATGTTAGTTGATGATGGAAATTTTAGAGAAGTCAGAATTTAAACTTATCAAGGGGACTGGGAAGTCTGCTGTAAGCAAGTTTTAAAGCCGAATAGGGTTTGTCCTAATTGGAAGCTCTGATTTTAAAGTTTATATATGTGGAAAGTTTCAGTACTATGTTTGCTTAAACAACCCAATCCAGCTGTTTGTTATAAGTGAGGCAAATATAACATGGTCAAATGATAGTATTTAGAATCAGAGTCTGAATCTGTTATTCAGATTGTATGGCAATATACTTTGGTAAGATTGAGCACTTGGTGGGTCAAAAATTGATAAATTGATCAGAAAAATATTAAGAATTATTTAGAACAAGAA